GCGAGCGGCAGTTAATGCTTCTCTTATTTCTTTGACTTTGTGGGGTAATTAGTTGACTTCGAGCTTGGTCATAGAGTGGTCTTTGGCATTGACCCCAGTGGGCGGCGAGCTCGGGCTCGACTGCAGTTTTGGACTTATCTTGATGATCTGAGAACTGGCTTGAGAATTGAGCTCGGCAGGCACGAGTTCGGACTCGATTGCAGATTCGGACGTATCTCGATTGGTACGCCTAGGCGCTATATATACGGCTTTCTACCACTCGACTAGCGCCTAACGAGTTTTAGAGCAACAATTCTAACAAACAGATTGTTCATAATGGAAATTTTTCGGAAACCGACCTTAAATGGAATGTCAACCGAGAAGCATCTCCAAGATCTAGAAAACGGTAAGAATGCAGAGGCAGAATGGTATTGTGATGAACGTCCGCTCCAAAAAATGGGGAAGACAGACCAAGGTATTCAGGTTGACTCTACAGTCATTCTAACCCCTTATGTATAATAATCACAATAAGATTCCTTACCAAACAGGTGGGGTCGTCAAAGAGTAATATGGGGATGTTAGTTTCTAAAGGTTTGACAAAGAGCCATACAAATGCTATCACACCTGATTTGACAACAGCTAATAAGCTTCTAAGGTTGAATTTTGTGTTGGGTACATTTTTTGTGGACATGTTTCGTAGCATGACAAAATTTTAAAGTATGAGAAACATAGTCCATATTGATGAGAAATGGGTTTTTATACCTAAAGCATCACATAAATATAATTTACTCCATGGTGAAGTTGAGCCATATAGAAGTTGCGAGAATAAAGGATTTTAAAAAATACTATACACATTTGTACACCCCCCCCCCCCCCCCCCGATGTGTGGTTCAAACGGGGCAATTCATTTAAGTGAGACAATTCATTTAAATGTTGGCCTCATTTGAACCACACAAAAGGTGACGTACAAATGGGGTACCCCAAAATGGGGTACACCAAGCATAGCTCAAAGATTTATCACAAAGGTGATGTTCATGTGTGCACCAACAAGAACATTATTTGGAGAGAATTGTGAAGTGCTATTTGTTGGGGAAAATTGGAATTTTCCCATTTACTAGGAAAGAGCTAGCATAGAGGAAAAGTAAAGACAAGACAGCTGGTACAATAATCACAGAGGCAATTGAATCTATTTTCATAGAAACAATTAAGGATTGCCTAATCAACAAAGTTATACCTGCCATAAAAAGAAGGTGGCTAGAATATGCAGAAATGCATGTGATTATACAACAAAACAATGCAAGACCACATATAAGTGGTAATGATGTTCATTTTAAGGCTGCTGCTACTTCGAATGGATTTAACATTGAACTAAGATGTCAATCTCCTAATTCACTTGATTTTAATGTGTCGGATTTAGGCGTTTGTAGAGCTATGCAGTCATTACAAACATAATATAATCATCAGTAAAAAGAACAGATGTGTTGATCAGTGCAGCAGAAACAACTAATGATATGCTATCACCCAACACACTAAGCAATGTTTTCATTAGTTCGTGAGCTTGTATGATTGAGATCATGAAAATAAAAGGGCATAACAATTATCGGCTTCCCCAATTGGGAAATCAGTCCTTAATTACACAAGGACTAAAACCAAACCAGCTCAGAGCAGACATATTCCTTGTGCATGACTGCTTGCAGTTTATAAACACGAGTCGACACGTATCTAATTTTGATGAACTAATGGCTAATTTGGGTTGCACCCCACAAACTAATTATTTGACAGGCTAATTAACAGGGGGGGTGAAGTGTCATTTTGGGTATACATGAAGTGTATGTAACTTTTTGATGGTTGAGCTTCATATGTGAAGCCAGGTTATTATTGAGATGGGTATATATTAAGTGCATATGTTTTCAAGACTTAATCACACATTTTTTGAATACTAGAATTTTCTTTTTTATAGTAATCTCACTTGCATGGTTAATTTTCTAAATGTAGAGTGCTACTTAACTTGAGATTATTTGTAGGGTGCTATTGAAGTTTGCACACAGCACTAGGTGGTATTACCAGAATTGGAGTAACGGATTTTTGAAAACCTGGAGTATTTGTGTTTTTTGTTGCATGAGTGTAATAATCAATATATGTTTTTTGTTAAATCATTTTGTAACAATAAACACAACTGTTGTATTACTGTAAAACGATGTTTTTTTTGTTAATTCGTACCGGAAGTATGAATTACTTTTGCTATAAATGAAATATTTTACTATTAAGAGGCCGTTTGGCAACATTGTCTTTTGGTTTATCAGACTTATCGGCCAACTTTTTCACCAAACACGTATTGGCTGAAGTCACTGTAGATGACAATTTTAGCTATTTTACATATAATTTTTTCATTATTTTATTAATAAAATATATTTTAAAAATATTTTTTTCTTAAATCATCATAATCAGCCAATGCAGCCACTTCAGCCAGAATTTCATAAATTTCAGCAGAATCAGCCAGAACAGTCGATTTTCATGCTACAAAACGGGCTCTAAGTGTAGACACTAGACATTATCATATTTCTAGTTTTTTTTATCTGTTTTAATTAAAACATACTACCTCCGTCCCAAGGACAAGTTCCCATTTTCTTTTTTTGGCAGTCCAAACAAAAAGTTTCCATTTCCCTAAATGGAAAGTTATCCTACATCAAAACAGTGTCAAACAGTGCAAAACAGTGTCAAACAGTGTCGAAACAGTGCCAAACAGTGTCGAAACAGTGCCAAACAGTAAAATTTATCCCTCAGTAACTTTATTTCCTTGATATGTGTGAAAGTCAACCTGGGAACTTCTCCCTGGGACGGAGGGAGTAAGTGAAAACTATATATGACATAACGAGTAGTCTTCTTGTCCAGCCGGCCTGACGGGAACCGCCGTCCGGCCGAGGGCATTTCGGACACTTCCCGATGGAATTTTTTGATGAAATTTTTTGAGAATGTTCTTCATGAAGTCTAGTTTATCCATACCAAATTTCAGCTCTAAATTCGATCGGGAAGGCATTCAAATTTTGTGAAGTTAACTAGGCAGTTTATATGTATGAACTGCCCAGTTAACTTCAAGAAATTATTTGAGTTCCTTCCCGATTGAAGTTTTAGCTGAAATTTGGTATGGATAAACTAGACTTCATGAAGAACATGCTCAAAAAATGTCATCAAAAAATTCCACCGGGAAGGGCCCGAAATGCCCTCGTCCGGACGGCGGTTCCCGTCAGGCCGACTGGACATGAAAAGTCCTCTGACATAACATCATATAGCACAAACCTCCCTACACAAATCAGTACAATGTCAAGCAATAAACTTGCGGTAAACTTTAACAAAACAATAAGATTTTGGGAAAAGGTGCAAATAGGCCCATGTACTAACAAAAAAAGGTCAAATAAGTCCTTATTTAGGAGGTTCTGTCCAGCTGTCGTCATTTGGGGTGGTTCCCGATGGAATTTTTTGATGAAATGTTTTGAGCATCTTATTCATCAAGTGTAGTTTATTCATATCAAATTTCAGCTAAAACTTCAATCGGGAAGGCATTCAAATGAACTCTAGAAGATAACTGCGCTTCTAACTGTGCAGTTATTTTCAAGAATTCATTTGAATTCCTTCCCGGTTGAATTTTTAGCTGAAATTTGGTATGAGTAAACTAGACTTAATGAATAAGATGCTCAAAAAATTTCATCGAAAAATTCCACCGGGAACCAACCCAAATGGCGACGGCCGGACATAGCCTCCTAAATAAGGGCTTATTTGACCTTTTTTGGTTTGTACATAGGCCTATTTGCACCTTTTCCCTAAGATTTTAAGCATTCGATTTAACAAAGATTACATAAACATGAATTTTGGATAAATTCATTGAAGTGTTAATATATAAAATGAAGTAAAGAATGAACTAGCCTTTGTTTCTTTTTTAAGCTCTGAAATTTATGGAAGATAAATTTGAAGAAAATTATACTTCGTAAGTGTCTTTTGGAGATGTGGAGCAACGGGTATAGAGTATGGACTATGGAGTGGGATCGGCTAAATTGATTATTATTATGTTAAAATATTAGCTCTTAAATTTTAAATTGAAAAATTATTAGTATTTCCTTGTAAATGAAGCACTTTATATTCATAAATATTAATTTTATTATTGTTGCAAAATTTTGAACACAATGTTTCATATTTTGAAATAACATTCTTTGATTTTGTTTAACCTACTTTAATAAAATTAAATTCATTACCTTGTAATCTTGAGCTATTTATCATCTGCACTATAAAATATGTAATTTTATAGTGTAGAGAATGCCCTTTTTTTACATTGATACACATTCATTAACATTTTTTCAAAAGAATCTTAAATATATAGTAAAGTTTTAAAAAATATTTTGTATTAACAATTTTAAATTTATAAATATTGGACCCAATTATAATAATAATTATTTATTTATTTATTTCAAATTTATAATTTAATTTCGATGTTTTTTGAAATTTATTTTATTAATTTAAAGTCAATACGATTAAATTTGATCTTTTATAAAAACATGAACCTATGAAGAATACTTTTGCACCGTTTGAAAGTTCAGATGTATATATGAATTTGAACATATATTTTATGAGTATATTTGTTCTAAAAAATAGAACAATGATATATTTATTCTCACATTTATATTACATTTTTACATGGATTTATTTATAGCTTTTCTCTAAATAAAAAAATAGACCCCACAAATTGTCAAATTCTCCAACAAAAAACAATTTCCATTAAGGGGTGTTTGAACTGATTCTGCTTCTGCTTCTTTTTTAAAAGCAGAAACAAAATCAGATCAGTTTTCAGAAGCTGGTACCCCTTATCTTCTTAAAAAACTGATTCTGAGAGTAAATTAGAGCTCCAGAAATGCTTCTGGAATTTCACCCAAACACTTCAGCTTCTGCTTCTGCTCCATGAAGGAGCAGAATCAATTTTGAGAATAACATCCAAACACCCCCTAAATATCTTTTTTTCCCTACGGCAATCTCCGAGTTCCAACATAGCCTTCCTTAATCACGAGGGGGAAAAAATTAAAACACAGAGTCCGTACATTTGCCATTTGTTTTTGCTCATCATTAAAAGCCGTACCAGTCGACAACCAATAAGAGTTGAGACACTGGGAGGCTGAGTGGTGGAAGAGCGGAGGAGCTGATAAAACGGAAGGCGGAGAACTGGAGTTGGTTTACAGCAGCTGAAGAATGAGACCAAACCCTAGAAGAGAAGCAGTTGAAGAAGAAGACACAACCCATGGGAAATTGTGGCACTAGAGAGGAATCCGCTGTCGTCTCCACTGCTCACCGTCAAGGTTCCTCCTCCTCCTCCTCCTCCCAGTCTTTTATTGCATAATTTTAATGGAACTCTTATGCTGTTTCGATTTAGTCTAGATTTTAATGACACCCAGGAGTATAATTTACTATTGATATCTTCCAGATCTATTAAACCCACATGTTGTTTTCTACTCTCATCCCTTAGATTTTTTTATATTTGACCAACCGCATTTCTTTCGATTTTTAGATGGTGGCAGTGCATATGTCATTTTCAAGAATTTCTTTTTTGGCGATTGGTCAACTATTTTAATATTGTTATTAATATTTTGGTACTGGGATGGCATATTAATATATTGTAGTATGAGGCGATTGAGTAATAATCCACGGGGTTGTTAATGTTTATATATGTTTATGTATGTATCCATATTAAGTAATTACCCAAAGTAAGAATAAAAATGACTCACGTGTACAAATAGTAGTATACTTTTGGGCCTAAAATATAACCTTTTTAGTCTATAAAAAGTAGTTAACATTTAAGTGAATGGGTTATATCAAAAGCAAACAAAGATAGTACTATTTGAAGAAATGTGTTTAGCTTTTAGTCCCAGGAATTTTTTCTTGTATGTTTTTTATTAGAAAAGTATATGAGCTTATATATAATATTTGATTCTTGAACCGTGGGTGTATGCAGTAGAGCAGCAGTTTCAGGGTTTATCAGCTGGGAGCAGGAATGGTGGTGCTGAGAAGAAGCACATGAGTGGCCGTTCTACATCAGATCTGAGTGACCCTTCAACTCCACGCAACTTGGATGATTTTAGAAAGAATGTCGTGCTGTATACTCATGTCATTGCCTTCACTCTATTTGAGTTGGAGACCATTACCAAAAGTTTCCGGTCTGATTACATTCTTGGTGAGGGTGGGTTTGGAACAGTGTATAAGGGATACATTGATGAGAATGTCAGGGTGGGCCTCAAATCCCTCCCTGTAGCGGTCAAAGTTCTCAACAAGGAGGGCCTTCAAGGTCACCGTGAATGGCTCACTGAGGTGAACTTTCTAGGCCAACTTAGACATCCTAATCTCGTCAAGCTGATAGGATATTGCTGTGAGGATGATCACCGGCTACTTGTATATGAGTTCATGTTCAGAGGAAGCCTTGAGAATCATCTGTTCCGAAGTATGGGCCCTCTTTTCTCTTCTCAAATTCCTTATTCCTTTCTAAATTTTTCATTGCCAATGCCATGTGGTATTGTTCATCAACAGTTGATAGTTACTATCTCCGTCCACTTTTAGTTGCTCCTCTTTCCTTTTTATGGAAGTTCATTACAACCTCCTTCCCTAAATTAGCTCTAGTTTTGACTATAGATACGTTTTTAATAAAGTAGAAACTGTCCGGTTGACATTTATGTAGAGAGAGATCATCAATGATAGATTCGTTTCCTTAAAGGGAAATAGTGGATAAATTAAGGACGGACGGAAAAAGGATAGAAAGAAGACAAATATCAGACATATGGAGAATTATGTGCTCCGTGTTTCATTTTTTGCAACTACCATAATATCAAAATACATACCTTTTCCATACTTTTTTATATTCTCTTTGACACCTTTTCTACTTTTCCATCTACTTGATCCAGTTTCCCCTTCTTTTCATACTTTATTCAACTACCTTGGTAATCTTACATTCTTACTCTAACATTCTTTGAAAACACTATAGGTGTGACTAAATGTGAACAGAGGGAGTTCTATACTTGTAATAATTTTTCTTTCTCCTAAAAAGTAATGTGCTGAAGTTTATCGTTTATATGCTCTGTTGTTTTACTGGTATAGCCTATTGTTATGGATCTTGAGACTTGAATCTAGCTTATGTTCTTGCTTTTACAACTTATTCCATTTTACTGAAGCATTATTTTTGATAACTAAAGTTAGTTTGCTATTTTTTGAGGCATTCAGAGGTAAATGTTCCGTTATCTTGGTCAAAGAGGATGATGATTGCTCTTGGAGCAGCAAAGGGGCTAGCTTTTCTTCATAACGCAGAAAGGCCTGTTATATATCGTGATTTCAAGACATCAAATATTTTATTGGATTCTGTACGCTGGCACTTTCCATCAAGACCGTCTTTCAATTTCTCACCATGTTAGTGCTGTATTTGTGAAAATATTATAAATGGTTACTTTTTTTACTGTAGGACTACACTGCCAAACTTTCTGATTTTGGTCTTGCAAAAGCCGGGCCACAAGGGGATGAAACTCACGTATCAACTCGAATAATGGGTACATATGGATATGCAGCCCCTGAATATGTGATGACGGGTATGGCCTATACTTTCAATTTACCAATAATAGATGTCTTCATGTCTATTGAATGGAAATATTGATGCAGTATATCTTTATTTAGTTCATCTTACCTTTTGCCATAGAAATTTCACTAAATCCTATATTAGAGGAAAGTGGGCTTATTGTCAATTCAAGATGCAAGAGATCGGGTGCTAATATTTTCAATTTTTTTTTTTATGAAATTTGTTTTAAGTATAGATCCTGAAAGCTATAAAACTCCGTCTTATAGTGTGAATAATAACTAATATCTACACACACACACATGCAGCAAGGTGTATAACGTAGAAAACCATGTGGCAATCTATATGTCAAAGAAAAACCATGAGTGTTTTAGGGGATAAAATAGCACACTCTATCTAGCTACTGTGCACTATATGAGTGCCTACTTGGAATACCAAAACTAACTACCTGATAATTTTTGCTTTAATTATTTCTTAACTTATTTTAGGAACATTTTAGTCCCTTTTATTGTATATATACTGAAAGCAGATCAGCGATTGAAATGTCACCTATGTTTCTAATTCGTAATGGGAGTCGATATCCTTAAATTTTAAAATGTTTCCTGTTGATATATAATAAGCACTGTCATCCGTTGGATTAGTGTATCACTGACAAGATAGAAAAGAGCTTGCCATTTAGAAGCCACCCAATTTAGAATCCCATCTAGTATTACGTGTAAATTAGTTCCCCCACTTTTTACCATCTCCAAATTGTGGAAATCCTTAAACATGATTCTCAATTAGAGGTGATCACTTTTATTTCTTGTATTTTCCCTTTATTATCATTATATTAGTTCAAAATGTGTGCATATCATCCCCGAAATTTATGTTGAGTCCATTCTAGGCACCTTTAGAATATCCTTCAATTACATTTCATTAATTTGCATGCTCATGGGAGCATGGCCTTTATCGTATTCCTATAACATAGTAGACTTGTAGCCCTTCCTATTTTCAGTTTTGGCCACATCTTTTTTATTACTCTATTATTTATTTTGCTTGAAGTGTCTCACATTTTCTTAAAATTGAAGCTGAGCCTTTTCTTAGTGTGTATAGTTGTCTCAAAAAGTCATATTTGTTGTTGATGTAGGACACCTTACTGCAAGGAGTGATGTGTACAGTTTTGGGGTGGTTCTGCTAGAGTTGCTGACAGGGAGAAAGTCGGTGGACAAGTCAAGACCAAGCAAGGAGCAAAACCTTGTAGATTGGGCTCGACCAAAGCTCAACGACAAGAGAAGAATGCTACAAATAATAGACCCTGGGTTAGAGAACCAGTACTCTGTTAGGGCGGCACAGAAAGCCTGTAGCTTGGCTTACTACTGCTTGAACCAAAATCCGAAGGCCAGGCCTCTAATGAGTGATGTGGTCGAAAGTCTGGAGCCCCTACAGTGCAGCGGAAGTGGGAGTGAAACTTCATCATCGGCATTCTCCTCTTCTGTTGGCGTTGCATTTTCTGTGGGAAGGGTGCCTGAGTTTCAATTGCATCACAGGTTTGCTCGCACTCCTGTTGCATGTCGGTCTCCTAACCCGAATTGTTCCCCAGGTGGACTTGCACCGCCACCATGTCGGGTAAGATAATAATGATAACGATTATGTCTCGTTTTTGTTCCTGTGTGCCGTTTCATTGCGCTGCACTCATCCTTGTAACATAACGCTACTTGGGTGCATTTGTTTCTTCAACGCTAGGTGTAAATTGTGCTTCGTAATGCAAGTCTTTTTGGTTGTGTTTGTTTAATAGATTAGTGTTGCACTTCGTGAAAATAAGGAACAACAATGCCAGGTGTGCACCTTTACACCATTTGTACAACTTCCCTGCAAATAATTCATGTTTGTCAAATTCGGTCGGAAAAACGTGTTTGTGTGAAGAAAATCTAACACATAAGGAGAGTCTCCCATGATTTTTAAATTTAAAAACGCGATAATGTAATTATGTGTCACTGTTGCTCAAACTCTGATATTTTCTACGGAGTATCATAATTCATACTCCGTAATTCATAAACATGCGACGTATTCTGATGGTACGAGAAAAAAGTACATGTGCATGTGACTGTTTTAAAACTTGTCGCCTTTGAGTACTTTAGCATTTATTATTCAATTTAACCTGTTTATTTGAATAAAGAAACTTTCTAGACTTTTCTTTTTATTTTTAACTCTGACGACCTTTGTTTATCCTCATTTGGTTGTGCATTACTAGTACTGTATTTTTTTAGGAGTTCGGATATTCCATATTAAAAATAAGGAACGAAAGAAATGTTTTACTCCGTAATTTATATTTTTACAGAATGGGAAATAAGAAAGTTTAGAAATTTGAAATCCCAGACAGAAGGTTTAGGACAAGTTTACTAAATAAATGAAGGAAGAATGACTAAAATAATACTCCTACCTTACTAAAATGCAAAAATAGAACGTGATTTTAAGTTGGTCAAAAATGAGACCAGACTCAAAAGGAAAGGACCGAAGCAACCTGGACAACAAAATCAATCGCCCAACCTTCTCTCCTTCAGCGCACATCTACAGTCCCATACTGCTGCCGTGTTGCACCTACCTCGACGGAACGCCGTTCTCTCCGCCGCGCCGCCGCACACCTGCTCTCCGTCTCCTCTTTATTCCATCTCCACTTCGTCTTCCTCCTCATCTATTTCTTCTTCCGGATCTGTTTTTCCAATGAACTGTTGTTTCAGATCTGGGCGAATACGGCGGGTGGCTAGGGTTCCACCTATAGGCGGAATAGGCGAGTGCGGCGGGCGGCTAAGGTTCGATAGGGTGGCTGGTTGGGACCTGGACCTGGGGGCGGGTAGGGTGGTGAGATGCAGCGGTTGTGGGGGCGTGGAGGGGTCGAGAAGAGCGAGGTAGGGATGGTGGTGGCCGGCGATTACAGGTGGTTTGAGTCCTGGGGGTTGGGGGAGGTTGTAGACGGGGTTGGGGTTGCGGTTGGGGCTGGATAATGGATGGGGAGGCTGGTCACCGGAGAAGGGAGGGGCAGGTGGTCACTGACGAGGCTGTTGGGCAGTGTAGGTGGTGTCCGGCGGCCGCGGTCACCGGCGGTTGTTGCTTGCATTGGTCACTATTGCATAGGGTTGCTGTAACGGGTCGGTTTGTGTAATTGTAACTATACGAAGGTCACAGTTGTTGTCGGTGGTGGCCGAATGCGGTTGTCGTTAGCGGTGGACGGAAGTGGTGATGGGGTGAGGGTGGTGGTTGGTGTGGGTAACTATAAATAATCGAACCCGATAATAATTATTGGATGGGATGGATAATTATAACCGATCAAATTGGGAAACAATAATTAGCGATTCAGGTAACTGTAACTGATCTGTCATGTAATTGTAAGTGGCGGGTCTTGTAACTGTAACTCTAACTGGCGTGTTAGGTAATTGTAATTGTCGGAGATGTCACTGAAGCGGTAATAGTAACTATGACGGTGGTCACTTGAGTGGTAGTAACTGAAATGATGTTACTGAGTGATAATAGTAATTGGGACGACGATCACTTGAATGGTAGTAACTGAAACGATGTCACTGGAGCGATAATAGTAACTGAGGCAGTGATTAATGAAGCAACAGTAACTGAAGCATTGGTCACTAAGATAGTTATCACATAATTGTCATATTATCATATTTATTTGGGATCCCTATTTATCTTCTCAAATAAAATTAAAATATTAAAATTATACTCCAATAAAATAGTAAAATTATCCTGTTAGATTCATTGTTGTAGAGCACAATTAAAAAAAACAACAGTAATGGTGATAGTCCATAGTGTGCCACTATGCGTTGAGTCCATGGTGTATGTGCAGGCTGGTAATATGTACGTCACCCGTATGGCCGTATTTCTAAAATTTGATCCGAAAGATACTTGCGGTTGTAACTTTCCAGTTTTGGTAGCACTAGGTTAGTTTTTGGTCTATTTTAAATTGGACTCTCTTTTCTGGATTTGGGCCTCCGTTTAGTACTATTGGTGTCCTTTTCCCATAAATGAAATAGGCTGAACTTTTGTAGGCGGAACCGCGGAATAATAAGGTTTACTAAACAACAAGAATAGCGCTTATGTCGTGTTTGAAACATGAAAAGTTATAACCACAATTCTTTTTTTTTTTATCATCAAACGAGCCTCTATTCATATCAAAAGATTCAGGATCATTACATCAAGCAAAAGGAAAATAAAACTGACACCAACTGAAACTTCAACAACTACGACTGTAACCTTATGATGAGACTTTGAGACGGTCACCCCTGAGAGAGCAACACGAATCGCTAACCATGTAGTGGGCTTGACACAGCCAAACCTATTCTCATAGATCCAACCATGCCCAATGACATAAGGAGAGGCAAAAAACTCAAACAAACTGTCAAAACCAACAACAAAAGTGGACACAAGAAAACAAATAACAAACAGATATAAACTACAAGAAAAGCGTTCACGAACTCTAGCACCTCGTACATCCCATGGTGGTGGTTCAGGAGGAGGTCTTACCACCGGTACCATGCTAATTGATACTCCGTGACCTTTGGCTGCCAAAGACCATGCATCAATCCTCCGTCCCTGCATAACCAAACTCATCTCTGCACCATGCAATCAAAGTAAACGGATAGGCGGCGCCGATCTTCTCCAACGACGACAGCAACGCATCATCCTCGAACTTTGACCACAACGCCGATCTCCTCGAGCCATGACAACAAATCCGCCCTTCGAGGACGAAGCACAAACAACAACAGCCGTCCTTCGATTAAAATCGAAGACGGAAATAGCGGCCGTCCTTCGATTAAAATCGAAGACAGAAAACGCGGCCGTCCTTCGATTAAAATCGAAGACGGAAAAAGACTCCAAGCGGCTGAAGCCCTAGAGAGAAGCGAGAGACGATCTACGAACTTAATCAAAATGGGTGTTATAGTTTATAACCACAATTCTTGGTATAAACACTTCACTCAGTTCACTGTTAAAACACTTTTACACTACGCTGGTGATAACTTTTCCTTCTCCGTGAACATGGGCGGATCTAGCCCTAGAGGAGGGAGGGCCTAGGCCCAACCTAAAAATAAAATAAAATAAAATTACTAGTATATATATTTATATTATATTTATTATATAAAAACAAAAAAAGTCAATTAGCGTTCAATTGATAGATTGGCAAGGTGGAAGTAGATTGATGCATATGCCTACACGTCTAGAGTATGAAGCTCATCTTGAGTTGTTTTTTCAATTTTTCAATGGAGAACATAGTGCACAAATTTCAGTTTCTTTCTTAAAATTTCTTTGTCCTTCATACGGAGTATCTATTTAAAATTAGTCTTCTAAGATCAATTACTACAAGGCTAACACCAATTGATCTCAAATGTTAAATGAGTTAGATACTAATATTGTGAACACCATTGGCCTTTTTGAATATGAGACTGAAAAATTATTTTGTTCAATTCATTTGATTTGGTAGGTGAAAATTAGTTCAATATGTATGAGTTTGCGATGTTTTTTGCGTTCGACAGAAATTCTTATTCCTGTTATATTTATTTTTGTCTTTGATATTTATGTTGCAACAAATTTTATTTTATATTTGAAAATAAATCTTGTCAAATAACATACTCCAAAGAATTAATACATTTTGACATTTTTTGCAATATACTTCCTAGGGGGTGGGATTTTGGAACCAGGAACTGTAGAACCGATTGGAACCGAACCGTTAACAACATCTAGGAACTGAACCGTTAACAATTAATGCCTCATTTGTAGGAACCGAACCGAAGCGGATTATAACGGTTCGGTTCCCGGTTCCTATAAAAAATATGTGCATGGAACCGTTAAGGAACCGTTATTAAAAAAAATAAAAAATAAAATAGTATTAGTAGTAGTAGTAACAACAACAACAATAATAATAATATAATAGCAATAATAACCACCACCACAACAACATTAATAAAACAATATAAGATATTTAACTAACAATTCTAATTTAATCAACGGAAAAGAAGTAATAAATATTGTACATGACGTTGATATAATATATTAAACTCCTTTCTACAAATCAAGTTTTGTTCCATCACAAAAATTTTATAAATATAAAATAACCCAAATAACTTGTAGTTGATTGCACATATTTTACTTTACTATTTTCATGATATTTCTAATTATTAGATTTATTATGAATCAATAGAATGTAATAATGTTTTTCATATCTATACATGCAAACTCAATGTCTTTTTTTTTATGTTTTGAACGACTTGAAGTAGACGTCCTATTCTTGCTACTATGATGACGAGTAACCTTCATCGCTCCGACACTACAATGATTTTTAATGTTTCATTTATTACATAAAAATTTAAATCACTTTTGTTCTATTAAGTGTTCAAAGTTCATTAGTTAAGTTTGAGCTTTGATGTTTGAAGTGATTAGAGCTTCAAATAAAATTTTAATACTCGTGTTTTGAATTTTCGACAAGTTTAAAATTATGTGTTAATTCTTAGACGAGAAAAAATTATTCTAGGAACCGGTAAAAGGAAGAACCGAACCGTTTACTACCGGTTCGGTTCCAAAACGGTTCTTGATTTTTTATATAGGAACCGAACCGATTTCATTAGTTAAAACGTTTATAACGGTTCCACTCATTTTGAGTAAGAACCGAACCGATCCCAGGCCTTGTTACATAGTACGTTATTTAATTAAATTTTAGCCCCACCTGAATGGTGGAGATGCTGGATCTGCCCCTGTCCGTGAATACACTATTCTCGGACAAAACAAAAGAACCAAAGTTACTCAACACAAGGTGCATGTTTTGTTTGTGAATATTGTATTCGCAGACAAAAAAAGTCTTCACAAACGTGTGTAAAAGTGTGTAAATAGTAAAAATGTATAATAAGTTTTTTTCAAGTTATCATTAGGAAATATCGAGTTTTTTCCGAGACTAATGGTAATTAAATAAATATTTAC